GACTCTTTTAGTTCAAAATAATCTGTAGCTTCTACTGAGACCCCTGAGAAGTCAGGCTCTCTAGTTCTGGAAGGGTGCATGAGCCCCACAGGAGAGGTGTGCTCTGCGAACCTTTGTCCTCATGGGGAAACTGGTGCAGCCAGACAGGTTGCCGAAGGATGGCCTGCCTATTCCCTCTTTGGTGCAATGTGTTGTTATTGTTTGGGGCTTTAACAAAGAAATGTGTTTTCTCACAGTCGAGAAGGCAGTAGCAACTCTGAATTCGGTGTGAGCTCTAAGGGGAGGCTGGCTCTCTTGTTTTCTCTGGAGGAAGGTCCTCCTCTCCCCAGCTATTGCATCCTTATTCCTTAGAGGCAGGTCTCCCTGTGTCTTGACATGTGCCTTTCTCTAAGTCTCGGAGGTTCTTGGTCATAAGGATGTGTTCCACTCTTGGTAGTAATGAGGTCCCTCCCTTACTGCAGTGATTTGAGGTTGGTTTTCATTTTGGGGATTGGAAAGGGCACAACTCAAGGGGCGCCATTCATTTAAGCTCACCAGGACTTGGTGACAGATTGAATTGGTAGATGGGAACTGGCAGGCAGGATGACACCCCGGATGGTGACTGAGCCACTGGGTGGGTGATGGCACCAGCCCTAAGATGGGGAAGAGAGTGAGAGTTAAGTTTGGGCACAATGGGCATGAGATGTCTACCAAGGCCCCGCAGGGGCATGTGGTGAAGAGCTCCAGGCCCGGCCCCCAGCAGGCTTTGGAAATGCCCACACTCCATCAGCAAAGACTTCTGAGCACCCATGTCTACATCAGGAAGCAAAGCACACGCATCTCCCCACCCTCTTTGGACATAAAAATGCATTATAATTTTACCACATGTGACAATGTGATGGAGACAAAACTGAGGGAACACTGAGGGATTAGCAGTGGTTTTACAATCAGATGATGAGGCTGTACCACCTTTAGAAGGTGAGATTAAGTCAGGAGGTGAAGTGGTGAGGACCTGAACTCGGCCCGGGGAGCGGCCAGCACAAAAGCTCTGAGGCAGGAGCACGCCAACACCTTTGAGAAGAAGACCAGTGTGCCCAGAAGAGAGTGGGCACAAGGAGGAGCCGGGCTGGGTCCAACCAGGCGAAGCTTTGAAAGACCTGGCCTGGACACTGTCTTCCTTTGTGAGTGATGGGGAGCCCAGGAGGCCTTGGGTCTGCCTTGTGTTTTCATAGCCCTCCGCTGACTGCTGGGGAAGTAGAGACTGCAGGGCCAAAGGGGCTGAGTGCAGGGTGGGCGCCCAGAGAGCAGGTAAGGTGAAGGTGGCTGAGCTGAGTGCAGGGTGGGCGCCCAGAGAGCAGGTAAGGTGAAGGTGGCTGAGCTGAGTGCAGGGTGGGCGCCCAGAGAGCAGGTAAGGTGAAGGTGGCTGAGCTGAGTGCAGGGTGGGCGCCCAGAGAGCAGGTAAGGTGAAGGTGGCTGAGCTGAGTGCAGGGTGGGCGCCCAGAGAGCAGGTAAGGTGAAGGTGGCTGAGCTGAGTGCAGGGTGGGCGCCCAGAGAGCAGGTAAGGTGAAGGTGGCTGAGCTGAGTGCAGGCAATAGGCAGATTCTTGAAGGCAGAGCTGATGCGAGATGGGAGAGGTTGGGGCCTGCGCCGAAAGACGACGAGGGGAAACTGTAGGTGTCAGACCACATCCTTGTCGAGAGGGTAGCCTTAAGGGCAGGCTGGGTCCTCTCCCAAGCATCCTCTGGAATCTGTCCACACCGGACAGGAATCCTGGGCTAGCCCTGTTCCAGAAACTTCTTGCCCTCCCTACAACTACCTCATTCCCAGTTATGGTATATCTCTCCCCAGGAGGTAAGGCCTCCTGCAATACCCTGCCCTGATTCATCATTTAGGTTTCCAGATTCTGACACCGCCTCCCATCCCAGGGCAAGGCCCAGGCCCGATGTCAGTCCGCTCCCCTGGGCCCTGAGCCCCACACCACACAGGCTGGGGATGTGGACAGTGCTCAGGCCTGAGCATGGCGAACCAGAGGCCGGATTAGAAAGGGCTGGCGCAGGATCAGATCATTCACACGTTGCAAGCACTGGAGATGGTTTGCTTACCCAGCCTTATCAGGACCCTGGGGTGAATCTCCCAGCTACCACTCCCTGGCCGAGCCCCCTGACAGCTCAGAAACAGAGCACTCAGTTTGTGTCCTGGGGCCTGGCGAAACTGCTCCTCAGTCACCGTGTTTATGCTAACTCAGGGTTATGAGCCTGTTTAAATGATATCCTCATAATCGGAGCCCCGGCTGCCTCTTCCGGGACAGCTTGTTTCCTGCCATCATCTTGCTTGGATAGACAGATTCAGTCCCTGACTACAACATTCCCATTTTGGAGGATGGGTGTGTGCAAACATTTCCATGTGGTGGGCTCCCAGGTTGCAAAGCTAGGCAGGGAGGAGCAGGGATCCTACAGCTGGGGAGGGGGCTTCCTTCCAGGGCATCTGTAAGTTGAGGGTCTCCTGGAGCTCCTGTCACCAGCTGCCACTCCATCTTTTAGACAGCAGGCGTGTACCAAGGCACCGAGTCTTCCTTGCGAGGCACGGCCCAAGCGTCATTGGAAGGATGGGAGGAATGCCAGCTCTTCCTGTTTCTCCATGCGATATGCACACCTAGTCCGACCTCCTCTCTCCTCTCCTCCCCTGTGCATCCCCAGCCTCACACATGACTGTGCTGAAGGAAGCTGTTCAATGGCTGGAGAGTGGGGAGGCCTAGGTGACTTTCATCCTGGGCGGCATCTGGTCTAACCCGCCTGTGTTCCTGGAACTGAGGCAGGGGCCTGGCAGCAGTCCACCCTTATCCACAGTCAGCTTGTGGCAGGGACAAGCAGAGAACAAAGCCTTTGCCCCCAGACACCTGGTTCTGAAGGTGGGGACCTTTGAAGAAGGAGTCGGTTCAAGAGGCACCGTCCTTCTCCTCCTCTCTGCCCTGTGGCTTCCAGTGGGGCCTCCCCTCTGGCCTCAGGTAATCAGAGGGTATATAAAGCCCCTTCCCACTGAGACAAAGAGACAGGAAACTACGGGACGACTAGAGATGTTGCTGCCAGAAGTGGCGTCAGAAGCCACTCACGAAGCCCTCCCTTCCCTGTTGCCCCACCCTGAAGAGCAGTTACAGTGGAAACCACCATCTGTAAAATCGAAAAGGCTGCTCAGCTTCATGAGTTTGGGAGGAGTGAAGTGGCCAGGCACTCTCATTCCTGCCCTTGGCCTTGATGTGAGGAGACACTGAGAGGAGTGGGGATGGGGACTCGCGTTAATCCTGACTCCTACGTACAGCCAACGTGAATGAGTTTGGGTATGCCTCTCCTTTCATGGGCTCAGTTTCTCAGCCACAGAGAGAATGCTGTTTCCTTCACAGCTTGATCTTAAGACACGGGCATGCGCAGCACCCACACAGTGCCTGGCCCCAAAGAGGTGTGCAGTGCAGCCTCACGTGCCTGGATTAGTACAAGGATTACTACAAGGCAGAAGCTCAGTGTTGTACTGAATCCTGCAGGGTGGAAGGAGGAGGGAAGGTGCTGGGATCCATGCTGTCAGGCCTGTGTGTACTGTACTGCTCTGGTGCGTCAGAGAACAGGACAACAGGGAGTCCCGTCCTCAAGGAGCTGACACTCGTGAGGGTACTGAGAATAAGTGTCCTGCTGGACTGCTTTGCACAGAGATGCTAGTCTGAGTGAGGAGGGCCCCTGTGGCGGAGCGGAGGTCTGGGTGGAGGGAGGATGAGGGCGGGACCCTCCTGGAGAGTGTGGGACCCTCCTGCCACGTGGTGAGTGGTGATTGCCCCCTCCCGTGACCCATGGCCTCTGGTTCCTACTCGCAGATCTTTTTTTTTTTTTTTCTTTTAATGGTTGTGCCAAAAGATCTTGTAATAGTTGTAATCTTTTTTTTAAAAATCATTTTATTGGGGGCTCCTACAGCTCTTATCACAATCCATACATCCATCCATTGTGTCAAGCACATTCGTACCTCTGTTGCCATCATCATCTTCAAAACATTTTCTTTCTACTTGAGCCCTTGGTATCAGCTTCTCATTTTCCCCCCTCCCTCTCCGACCCATACTCACAGCTCCTCTCTCTCTCTCCTACAGTGTGGAGGGCGAAGCACCCAGCAGTGAGACGGGCACATCGCTGGACAGCCCCTCGTCCTATCACCAGGGCCCCCTGGTGCCCGGCTCCAGCCTGAGCCCTGACCACTACGAGCACCCATCGCTGGGGGCCTATGGGCTGTACTCGGGGCCCCCGGGGCAGCAGCGTGCTCGGAGGCCCAAGCTGCAGCACTCCACCTCCATTCTGCGCAAGCAGGCTGAGGAAGAGGCCATCAAGCGCTCGCGCTCGCTCTCTGAGAGCTATGAGCTCTCCTCGGACCTGCAGGATAAGCAGGTAGGCGGGGCTCAGCTCCACAAGGCTGTTCTGTTCCCACATTCATTCTCCAGGGGCTGGCACTCGGCCATGTGTGGAGCCAGTTCCTGGTTTACCATTGCTACACCCCACCCCCACCCCCACGCCCCGCCCTTCCTAACACTGAAGCATGAGTTAGGTGGCTGTTTGCTTCAAGAGTGGCCTTTGCCTCAGCAGAGTCCTACCTCTGGCTCCTCCTGGGAGCCTTATGCCTTAGCTTGCTGGACTGAAACACATTTGACTCTCTGACAGGCCTTCCTGGGTGCTTGCTCAGACTCCTTCTCAAATGAGGCCTTGGCCTCTGTGCTGGTTCTCGGATCTCTTGTGGCTAGGGGCTAAGAGCTGTGGTAGGCCAGTTGGCCACAGGGGTGCTGTGGTCCCAGCCAAGGGCTGAGCCTTGGGTAGAAATCGAGTCTGGGTGAGCAAGCCCAGTGGGAAGGAAAGAAGGAGGTCAGTTTACAGCATAAATAGCCCAGGCTTTAAAAAGCCAAGCTTGTCCCCAGCCCTAGAGGTGAGGTTGCTTATTATAGCCCCTTGGGTTTACAAGTCCGGGTTCACATGGGCAGCGGCCTCCCAGAGAGTGCTTCCAGATTCCACCTTCCTCTTCCCGTGTAACAGCCTCACATACAGAGCTGCACACACCCCTGGGGAAGATGCTTGGCCAGGGTGTGTGGGCAGGCCTGAGGAAGGACCAGGAGTGGTGGAGATGGAGGGGAGCCCCTGCTCCTGTTGGGGTTGGGACTCAGGGAGGCAGAAGGAACGAGAAGTCTCTGGGGAGGCAGCGAAACCTCACCCTTGAGTTCCTCATAATCAGGCACCTGCTGGGAATGAGAAGACAGGCTTGTACCTGAGTGAGCAGGTCACTCAGCTGTCTTAGGCTGTGTGAGACTCTCTGGCAGAGAGACTAGCTGCAGGAGAGCCCTCGGCCCTCAAGAAGCAGCTCTGCAAGTCTGCAGGGTCCCCCTGACAGGCCAAATTGTCCCCGGCTCTGGGTAGTCTTCTTGTACACACTGGGCAGTTGCCTCTGCCTTGAGTAGCCCCACAGCCTTTCCAAGAGATGCCCAGACCCCGTGCTGCAGAAATGTCTTCACCCCTTGCTCCTGCCCTGTGTTTGCCCCTGTCCTTCAAGGAGCCGAGATCTGGGCCTGATGTGCCTCCCCAATACACTAGCGAATCAGTGCGGGTGTTGCCTGGGTAGGTCTTTTCCTAACAAGGAGTCCTCCTCCACAGTCTGCCAAGGGTGGTGACTGGACAGCCCTGAATGCTTGACTGACGGGGCCGTCGAAAGCCAGAACCCTTTGGCATAGACCCCTCTGTGGGCTGTGGAGGAAGAGGGTTCCCTTCAGCCCCCTGACCCTGGGCCCGACAGCCAGGCAAGTGGAGGAGAGCAGCCTCTGTTGGGTGCTTCCATTGTACCCAGATCCAAACAGAAGAGACATCTACAGCAGGATCTCTAAAATAAGAATGAGCAAGGCTAGAGTGCTTAGAGCTCTGTGGAGATATGCTTAGTACGAGCTTAGTGTGGCTACAGCTGTGTATTTTGTTCCGTGCACATTAGCCGGACACCTACTGGGTGCTGATGAGTCAGTGGTGAGCTGAATGAGGCCCCTGCTCCCTCAGGCTGACATTGTGGAGCGGCAGACAGAGCACGAGCTCGTCAGTTAGAAAGAAATGAGATCATCCCAAAGTGATGCCATTTCGGAATTCCCTCTGACCACAGATCAGGCATGTGAACAGCCTTGCCATCATGCAGAGTGAGTGTATTGGAAAGTGGATTATTGCAGATAGTCGGGTTAAAATTTAATACCGTATCATTTGAGCTCCCTGTTGAGCCATTTTAAATTTGTTCTAGTTTTTAATATTTTCTGGTTTCTTTTCAACTGAGGTTTCTATCTGTTTTATTTTGTTACTGTTCGTTTGCGTTTGTTTGTTTTGTATATGGAATCTGGAATGGGTGAATCTATTGAGCCAGTATCTGGATTAGGGGTTCCTTGGGTGAGCTAGTAATGATGAGTACAAGAGAGAAGCAAATGTTCTAAAACTGACTGGTGATTGTGTAACTCTTGTCGATGTGATTGAACTATGGAGTATGTGATTCAACAGCTGATAAAGCTGTTGAAAACATAATTAAATAGTGATGCCTTCACGGGATGAGGGCAGTCAGGAAGCCCTCTCTTAAGGTAGCATTAAAAGGGATGCGTGAGGAACAGGTGCGCTAAGAGGTGACAGCAGGTGCAAAGGTCTCACCTCCCCGGTGAAGGCGAACTAGGCATGTAGGCGAGACAGAGGAGGTTGGTGGGAAGGGAAGGCATTCAGGGCCCCCTAGCTCCCAGCAGTCGAGGGAGAAGCGGGAATAGATTTAGTGGGAAGCTCCCATTGTGGAGAAAGGAGACACACAGGAAGTCTTGGCCTTTTTCTTTTGACTTGGCTCACGGCGCTGTCTGGTGACTTCCTGTTGTCAGTGAAGGCAGGAGGCTAAGACCAAGCAGGCACTCTTCTCAGTTCCTCATCCCCACCACGGCCAAGTGCTCCTTTAAAGGGATAGTGAGGTGGCCTGATGGGAAAGGCCCAGCCAGGAGGTCTGGCCGGCCAAGTCCTTCAGTTCTCTGCGCCTCCCTTGAAACTGTTGAGGATGTGCAGGGAGACTGAGCCTCCCTGGCACACACAGTGTGAGCCAGTATAGATCTCATTCCTCCCCGGGCTTCCAGCAGCGTTTCTGAGTGGGCCTTGGGTGAGTGCCAGCCTCCAAAGAAGAACCAGTGTGTAAAAGCGAGCTCTGAGCTCCGGTCAGCATTGAATCCTTTTGGGGAGGGAGGTCTGAAGGGACTGAGCGGACTGCTAGATAAACACAGAGCCCACTTCTGCCTGCTGGAAGCCTTCCTCCCTACACCACACAGGCTTGGAGAGTTAGTCTCAGACAAACAAGGTTTACAAGGTCCAAAGCTATCAGGGGATTAAGGTCCGGGAGGGAGTCTTTGTAACGTCCCTCGTGGCACTTGTGACACCCCACCAGGGTCTGCGTGAGGGGCTCAGGACCCACAGGCCTTTGCAGGCAGAAGAGAGAGAAGAAAGGGCTTGCCATAGCCCAGGCTTGGGTCCCATGTCAGCTCTATGGCCTGTTAGAGCTTTATTGGCAGCTCAAAGAAATAGAAATTTTCTGCTTACAGATGTGGAAGTGAGGTCATTTCTTTGGATGGTGTTCAGTAACTTCAGGGCAAGGAAGAACAGAACCACCCTGGCTAACACAGCCTGTCTGCTCTGAGAAAAGTCATTGTGAACCCCCGCCCCCTGCTGTTCTCGCTTCCAAAGAGAAGCCCGCCCAGCCTCTGTCGCCTGGCCTGCGGAGCACTGGAGAGCTGCCTTGGGGAGCCCCTACCTGTCCCCTCCAGACCCCTATTTCACTTATGTCCCCAAGTCAGGCCAGCCTTTCACAGCAGGCGCTCCTTTACCTAAGGCAGGTGACTCACCAAATTGCTTTACAGTGGGATGAACAGAAATGTGAAGTTGCTGCCCAACTCCTCTGGAAGTAAGAGGCTCGGGACCTGCCTTTTCCAAGTTACCTTCTCCTGACTCAGGCCCAGGCTTAGTCTGCTCAGCTTCTGTTTAGCTTTATTCCCCGGGGGTTGGTGGGGGGTGGTAGTGGGATGGTGTGTGTATGGTGTGTGTGTATGTGTGGGGGCGTTTATGTGGTGTGGTATATGGTAGGGTGTGGGTGAGTGGGCATAGTATGTGGTTTGGGGTGTGTATGTATGGCATGGGTGTGTGT